TAGTAGAGACAGGGTTTCACCATGTTGGCCAGGCTAGTCTCGAACTCCTGACCTCAAGTGATATGCCCACCTCGGCCTCTAGAAATGCTGTGATTATAGGCATGAGCCACTGCGCCAAGTCGAGAAATACTTAATATTCAGTTTATTTAGATCTCATTTTTCATTCAAGTTTTAATAACAGAACTTTTTCAGGAGGCATATATGTATGCTGATATGTGATGTGTATAGGATTTCTGTTGAGATGAGAAGTCAGAATAGTTTTGATCCCTAAAACTTACTGTAGCCAAGAACTTAACATTGTTATTTCTAAAGGAAAATCATCTTCTAGTTTCTTAATTTGTTTTCCTCTAGTTGCTGAGCTAAAACCTGAATTAGGCTGTAGACTCCCCATGCTGGGTAAGAATGGAGAGAGCAGAAAACCAAAACTGTGGGCCTGAAGAGTCACAGGTTCCATTACACTCCAATCCTCACGTGTTTTTTCCACAGGGAGCCTTTCCAGCTCGTTTGAAGAAGGTGCTGATTGTGGGTGCACCCATATGGTTCTGAGTGCCCTATTCCATCATCAGCCTCCCCCTGAAGGACAAAGTCTGGAAGAGGGTAAGGCAAGCTCGCCCTTTTCTGTTTGGAGGTGAATAGATACATTCTCATCTTTACCAGTGAATTCCTACCAATTAATTTTCTACCTTCAAAAAATCTTCCTGACATGTCTCCTAGAGCACGTTCTGTCTCTGTGAGTGCATTCACTCACATTACCTACCTGCTGCATTAGTCAGCTCATACAGACTTCCTCTCTTACTGTCCTACCAGCTTCTTGAAGTTCGAAACTAGACACAGTTTATCTGGCTCTCACTTTCTCTAGCACCTTGCATAAGATGGTACTGAAGGAATATCTCTTGCAGGTAACTTAGGGATGGCTACTAACTTCCAAAATGTTTCCCAGTGCTGCAGAGCACTTTATTATTTAGCAGCTTGTAACATAACTGCATTAGCTGAACTGGCATTTAGATTTGTTCAACTGGAAACATCAATCCCTTTGACCACCAGGGTTGTGGAGGGGAGTTTTTCATTATGTCTCTTTCTACATTTATTCCTGGCATTGTTTTCTCAAAACATCTTGTTTCTTCCCAATTTTAAAAGCATTTGAAATTATCTTAATTCTGGGTTCAGCGTAGTGGCTCACACCTATAATCCTAACACTTTGGGAGGCCGAGGCAGGGAGATCACTTGAGGCAGAAGCCGGAGCAGGTCGCGCTCCTCCAGAAGCTGTTCCTGGTCCCGGTCCAAGTCGTACTCCCCAGGAAGGAGATGTTGGTCACGGTCCAGGAGCCCCACCCCGCCATAAGATACTGTCTTAACTGCCATGCTGGTAACACTGGGACTCTGTGGTGCTTTGCTTTCCTTAGACGTCACGTCAAGTTCCACCTTCTGGTGCTCACAGCTCCTTGGTCACCTCCTCCAGGGTGTGGTAGTGGAAGTAGTCTGCATCCAGGGAGTGCAGGAGGGAGGCCTGCAGGTGCCGGCTGCCCTGGATGAACTGCTACATCAGGCTCAGCTGCTGCTTCAGCCTGTCATGTATTGCCAGTACGGCCAGGCTATAGGTGGTCAGGGCTTCTATTGCATCTGCGCTGATAACATGATTGGCAATGGGGGTCGGGTCCTCATAGGCACCTTCCAGGGCAGGCCCCATAGCTGCCATGCCGGCCACCTTGGTCCACTCGTAGGTGAACGTGGGATCAGGTGTCTGCACAGCTGTGTCCTTCACAAGGACTCTTGTCACATGCCTGCCTGGCGTTTTCCTAGACTCGGCTATTTGTGGAAGGTCTGTCTTCACACTGGAAGAAGATTCAGACAGAACGTCCAGTGTTCTGTCAAGAAACTTCCTGGAACGGGCAGTTGGCTCAGATGCTGTCAGACTTGAAGAGTTTTCAAAATCCTCAGAATAGGCTGAGCTGACTGTTCACCATGGGGGCTTCAGATGGCAGCTGCATGCTGGGAGCGCTGTCCAGCTGGACGCCAGGAGCCGAGCTGGCACTGAGATGCTCTGAGACCTCGCTCTCATGCCCCTCTGCAGAGGTGGCCTTTCCCTGTGATGCCCAGCTCCTTGCCTGGGCAGGCCTCGGGGCATCTTGCCCAGTGGATGCCTCGGCTCTGAAGATTGTGCCAGCTGTTTTTTCCCTGTGAGCACTTTCCTCTTCCTGTTCCAGATCCGAGTTCTCATGGACAACGGGAGCCAGATCGTCAAGTGAAAAAATATTTATTCTGAACTGGTCGAGGCTGTCATCAGCACCTTCTGAAACTGACTTATCTACAGGCTCAGTCTCACTCCCTCCAGGGGAGGACCCAAGCTTGATGTGCCCCATCTTTAAAGAAACTGATTTCAAAAAGGCGCCTGTGATGGAAACTGACGGCATGTGGGAGGTGGTGTCATCGGAAACGTGACTCTGCGAGGACTGTGATCTCAAGCAAGCGCTGTGAAGGGTCCTGTCTGCTGCTAGGGAGGTTGGCAGGTATGATGTCTGAGAAGGCTTTCAACTGGAGAGCTCCATGCTGGGTACAGTAAATGCTTTTTTTATTTTTTTCCCATGGGCATATCTTCATTTGAAAGGGTCAAAAATTTTATTAGCAGGCCTTTTTCTGTTTTTGAACATACAGGTTTTCTGCTGTCCAGTGTAAAGAGGAAGTAGTATCTTGTTGCCTGAGGTTTGGGGTGCTTGCCTTGGGGCTCCATCCCCATCCCTTTCCTGCCAGCGCACTGGGGGAAGGCACCTGTTTGCCAGCCCCATAGATTCTTCCTCTGTGGGATAAGGAACTGTGTGTTCTGCAGGAAGGCGCTCATGACTGGCTGGTAGATGAGAGGCGGCCTTCTCAGGGGATGCAAAGCTGAGGCTGTTGAGGGGTTGAGTTGATCTTGTGGCTCTGGCAGGGGGGCACCTGGTAAGGAGGCCCCAGGTGATGGGAGCGTGGCCTGGAGAGTCTGGCGCTGCTGCCTCCCCGCTGGCCCTACACCAGCCCTCAGGATGTATCATGCCTTTGCTCTTCTTGCGGTTGGCTATGGTTCTCCGGCTGTGGTTGGCTCTTGTCGCCTTGTTGGCTTCCTTCTTCCTGCATTCCTAGGTTGTCTCATGGCTCTGCCCATGGCCCCTGGGGCTGCCGGCCACTGCTGTTGAGCTGTCATGCCGGTACCCTTTCTTGGCGAGAGAGGCCATGCGCCTGGCTTCTGCCTTCTCTCTCAGCACTGCAGGGTCCTGCACGAAATGGTCAGGCTTGGGAGCCTCCTCTTCCTCGTTGTCCTCCTCCTCCTCCTGCCCTTCTCTAGGCACTTTGGTTCTCAGCCCCTGAGGGATGGTGAATGCCCTGCGGCTGATGAGCTTGTCATCTGCATCCGCATTGTTGGCGTCCACCTGGTTGCCATCGTATGTGTCATCATCCTCATCCTCATAGTAAACATTGTGGTAGGGCAGGCTCTCACCTGGCTGCAGTAGCACCTCCTCCACCACCACGCTGTACTGCTCATGGCACTGCCACTGTGCGCCACTGTGTGCTTGTCATTCAGGAAACTCCGTGTGTTCTCCTCCTTCCCAGTGCTCTTGCCCTTGTGCACCCTACTCAGGTCTACTGAGTCCCTGCTAAACACGTCAAACTCATCATTCTGGAAGACGTTGTGGTGAGATGTCAGCAGGGGTGTCTGGTCTGGTTGCATTTCTCTGCCTAGGTTGTGGTCCAGCTGGGTGAGGGTGGGGGCCATCTGCTCCTCCAGGATATTGTTGATCACCTGCTCTGTGTCATAGTGGTAGTACTCCAGGCAGGCCAGGATGAAGCCCTCACCAAGGTCTGGCAGCAGGTCCTTCACCTGGGAGATGAGTGAGTCCAGCTCCACCCCACACATGATAAGGCCCACAGCCGCAGCTGCTCCCATGCACTCCTCTTCCTCCGAGTTCTCTGGATGTGATGGCGCTTGACTGACTGCGTCTGCCATCACCGTGACCCCATTACGCTCCCCATTAGGCTCCTCAGTCACTGATGGGTCTTTAGCATCTGTGGCTTTCCATCTGTCCACCCCTTCCCATGCACTCTCGACTGCCTGGAGGATGTAGGCAGTCCACGTCTCGTCCAAGACTGACGAGGCCTGCTGCAGCAAGCTGATGTCTTCGGCCACAGGAAAGAGTGCATTATAGTCCCAGAAGAACCTCTTCTCCTGCAGCAAGGAGCTGAAGATCTGAAGGAACTCTTCAATGAAGCCCTGAGTGTTGTCACAGCTGCCTTCTAGGATGGGAAGGAGGCATATCTGGTTCAGGATGATGTGGAAAATCTCCATTAGCTTCTTCCTGGAATGGGAGAGCCTCTGCCACAGATGACCTAGTAGCTTGCTATCTTCAAGCTTCCTCTTCTTAATTGCAGACTCCATTTCAGGAATTGCTGCTTCATAGAAGGAAGCTAGTCTGTAACAAAAGTTGTGCTTCTGGAAGGTCTGGCAAGCCAAAGGGAAGATACCCAGAAAGGCCCAGAGTGTGGTGCAGGTGTCACAAAGGTGGAGAACAATGTCCTTTAATTCCAGGAGAGGCATGTCATTGGGGGTCAACCGGCCCCTCTCCTCGAGCTTCTGGGGTGTGCTACTGGCCCCATCCCCTTGCAAACCACAGTGCTGGAGGATATTGCTGAAGACCTGAAGGGTGGTAAGCATGGTTTCATCTAGGTCATTGCAGCAACTCGGCTGCTGTGTAAAGATGTTTCCTACCATCTTCTGGAGCAGTGGTGAGTTGCCTTTTCCAAAGAGCACACAGAGGTCCAGGATCTTTGGAATGTCAAAGAGGAAATTATTGTAGAGGATTTCTCTAAATGCAGAAGGGGAAATGAAGTGATCTTTGGATTACTTGTGAGTGGAGATGTGGAGGAAGGAAAAGAAGTATTTTAGGGACCTGCGGCTGCAGATGGCGATGGAGGAGAGCAAGAGGGAGATGGGGGCAAGGAGGAGTCATCCCTCATAGATCTTGCTGACGTCTTCACAGCCCCAGCTCCTCCGGCGACCACAGACCCCTGGGGGTCCCCAGCACCCATGGCTGCTGCCACCCCCATGGCTGCCCCACCTCGGACCCCTGGGGTGGCCCTCCTGTCCCTCCAGCTGCTGATCCCTGGGGGCTTCCAGCCCCCACATCAACCTCTGGGGACCCCTGGAGGCCTGCTGCCCCTGCAGGACCCCCAGTTGACCCTTGGGGTGGGACCCCAGCCCCTGTGGCTGGAGAGAGGCCCACGCTGGATCCATGGGGAAGCTCCGATGGTGGGGCCCCATCAGTAGACCCTCCGCCTCCGATCCCTGGACACCGGCCCCGGCCTTCTCGGATCCCTGAGGAGGGTCACCTGCAAAGCCCAGCACCAATGGCACCACAGCTGGGGGCTTCCACACGGAGCCCGACAAGTTCTCCGACTTCCACCGAATCCGAATGGCCCTGCTGACCCCCGGGACCAGCGCGGGGGAGCTGGAGCTGCTGGTAGGAGGGGTGCCGGCCTGAAGCCCTGGGGCGTTTGACCTGAGTGGGGTCAGGGGATCTCTGGCCGAGGCTGTGCGCAACCCGCCACCTGCAGCCACGCCAACTCCCATGCCCCCAACCCAGAAGACACTGGAGTCATTCCTGGGACCCAATGCAGCCCTCGCCGACCTGGACTCGCTGGTGATCCGGCCAGGCCCCAGCCGCCTGGAGCCAAGGCCTCCAACCCCTTCCTGTCAGGCGGAGGCCCAGCCCCAGCCCCTCCGTCACCAACCCCTTCCAGCCCGCACCCCCCGCGACGCTCACCTTGAACCAGCTCCGTCTCAGTCCTGTGCCTCCTGTCGCTGGAGTGCCACCTGTATACATCTCTCCCCTTGGTGGGGGACCTTGCCTGCCCCCATGATGCCCCCGGGTCCCTTGGCCAACACTAACCCCTTTCTCCTATAATCCAGGGCAGGAGGGGGACCTGGCCCCGCCCGGCCGCCCCCATTCCGGCTCTCTGGTAGATCAGTGTTGTGAGTGCATGTGAAATGGGGGTGCGCCCTCCCAGTGCCCTTCCCCGTCCTGGGGCCCACTCACACTACACCCTCTTCCCTTTCCCACCCTGCCTCCCAGGAGGGAAACTGGACATGGGGCCTGGGGAGGGAGCTGGCCAGAGGAAGACCCTTTCCCGTGGCATTAGAAGGGGAGGGGTGGCTGGGGCCCCACATGTTCCCCTCCCTCAAATTCCCAACCCCAGTCAGTGTTTGAGCCTCCTCGTTCCCCTCACACAACCTCGGTGAACCCTTGGTGATGATTTTGGCGACTTTGGGAATAAATGGCACTCCCATGGGCATGGCTCCCCAGAAAAACAAAAACAAAAATAAAAACCTTTTCAAGGTTCTTACTTTTTATGGTGCATACTTACACACACAATAAAGGCAGTCTGTCTCTTCCACAAGCAATTTTCATGCATCAGATCCTTTTTCCACAACTACGAGAATCCTGACTTGAAGTTTTCCTTAAAGTCTTCACTTCTATTTCTAGTGATCTGATATCAGTTCAAGCTGTTCTTTTACTTCAACTTCTTTCCTATGTTGCTCCACTTTCCTTTCTACTCTTCCATAATTTTTTCATACAACATATTAGCATTTCCTGTCTTCTCATCTTCTTGTTTTAAGGTGCATTCAAACTGTAGAATTCTTGTTTCCATTCCACTTTTAGATGTTTAACTGTGATTTCATTTCTTGTGTGTTGGATAGCTCCTTCCATAGTATGCTAAACTCAGTTTTCATATTTTTATTGTCTAGAGTAAGTTGTTCACCAATACTTTTTTTTAAGTTCCAGTGACTTTTCACATGAAATAAATGCATTCTGAATTTCCATTAGGATATGAGAATCATTATAATCCATTCCAAATTGCTTAATGAGCATCATCAACTTTTTATAATGAGGGTAAGTTTCCTTATGATTCTCTGAGGCTGTTTCAGATGGCCAAGTTCGGTCATCAAGTTTATCTCTAAATGTGTTTGCTTTGTGACCTTTTTATTTGACATTTTCTTTGGAGGCCTATCATATTCTCCCTTCTCCTTCTTAGGAAATCACTGATGGTAAGTTTTCCCACTCTTTCTTTGTTGAATTAATTTATCATCATCATCAGGAGATGTACTATCATATAGGTTTTCTGATGCTTTCATCTTTTTACTTTTGTGCTTCTTTCTAGCTTCTTCAACCTGTGGCTATTTATTTTCACTTTCAGGCTTTTCTTGTTCTTCCTATGAGGTCACTTGTACTTCTTCTTCTGCTCTGGATGTTTGTACATCCTTCCTTCCTACTGCTTTCTTCACAACAGAATCTTTCAGTGTTTGGCTTCAAGGAAGGATGCTTTGCAGGAGGCCCTTCTCCTTTTCCATTTCTTGTATATTTTTTCCTTTTTTTATATGAAGGTCCAAGTAAAGACTCTGAAACACTCAGGGATACACTTCTTGGCAGTGAAAGTCAAGTCTTCATCTTCTGATTTAGGGCACGAATCAACACATTTTCTTGAAAATACTGAATGCAGAGCTTCAGAGCTTCCAGAATCTTTGGCACTTGCTCCTTCTTTTTTCAAACTTGCATTCTTCTTGGTTGTTTCTTCTGGATTGTCATTTGAAGACCGTTTTCAAGTATCTTTTTGCAAATGTTGCAAAATTTGTTGTGAGTGCTTGTCAGACCACCAGAAATAGTGTAAACGTAGGCCGTGTGTTCATATATGTTCTTGAGTAAAGACAATATTTTGTTGAAGAACAATGTTAACTATACCTGACAAGCTATAATGTACAACAGGTATCAGGGCTGTTCTTTTCAACCTATCAACAGCATGTACATTTGCCTGTTTCTTCACTAAAATTCCACCTTTTACTGTGTTATGCAAGCTACAACAAGTAAAAGCAGTGTGTTTCCATCCTAGTTCTAGCACTTCAGTATTCACACGGTGTGAAGGGAGTTTTTCTGCCGGTAGTCTAGTCTCATTATAGATAGCATAGTAGAGAGCAATGTTGCTGTAGACATCCATAAGATCTAGATTGGTGCCACCTTCTAACAGAATGATGACACAGGTTTCTTTTTGGCAATGTACAGCCTTCATCAAAGGCATCTTGTTTTGTTTGTCACCAATGTCAACCTCACATTTTCAGTTTAGTAGAACAGTGACCACCTTCACATGACCATTGGCACAGGCCAAATATAAATCAGTCTTGTCCATCCACAGATGAAGTAATGCAGAAATTCCGGGATATCTGTGCAATGGAATACTCTGCAGCCATCAAACTTCGGAACATCACATCATTTCCAGCGATGTGGAGAGAGACCTGTTCCCCCACAGATGAAGGGATACAGAAGCTGTAGTATTCATTCACAATGAAATACTCTTCAGCCATGCCATATACTAAAATCATATCATCTGGAGCCACATGGTTGAACTTGTTATCCCTTGATGAAGGGATGAAAAAACTGAAATATATATCCAGAATGGAACACTCTTCCACCACAGAAATGGATGAAATCCTATCATTTGCAGTCACATGGAAAAACCTTTTCATCCACAGATGAAGGGATAAAGAAACCGTAGTGTATGTACACAAATGGAATACTCTTCATCCAGAAAAATATAAAGAAATTACATCATTTGCAGCCACACTGTTGAACCTAGAGGACATCATGGCAAATGACCTGTCCATCCATAGCTGAAGGGATAAAGAAACTGCCACACAGGTACACCACGAAATATGCTTCAGCCGTAAAGCTTCGGGAAATCCTGTCATCCACAGCCATGTGGAGAAACCCAGAGGACATTAGGTCCAAAGGTGAGCTTGGTAGAGAAAGTCCCACACCTTTTAATCTCAGGCATGGAGATTCCAAAAAAAACCTTTATCTCCTGTCCATCCACAGATGAAGGGATCAAGAAACTAATATATATACACAAAGGAATACCCTTCAGCCATCAAAATAACCGTGTCATTTGGAGCAACACAGATGAACCACAGAGGCTACAGCTGCCTTGTGCCACACCATGGATGGAAGCCACCATGGCCTCTGTCCAGGCTGAGCTCTGACCACAATGATGCCTCTGCCCCCACCCAGGCCCCACCATGACTGACGGTGCCCCTGCACCTTTTCAGTAGTCATTGTTGACTACTGGGACCAGCCTGGGCAACATAGTGAGACTCCATTGCTACAATAAAACCAAAAACTTTAATTCTGCTATAATCTCCTGACTGTTTCATGATTAAAAGATTTGTGA